TGTTGTAGTAATCTATTTCCCCTTAGGGTGACCTAAAAAATGTGGGCAATTGGTGAAGCTATATTAAATCAGTGCCAGTTTGCAGTGTTTGAAAGAGAACCTGTCATATTTATAGAGTCTACTGTTACAAAATTCTTCAGAAAATTGTTAAAGGAAGTGAGTTTCAACTTGTAGAACTAACAAGTTATAAGATTTTATGGGGAGCTATTATTTGGGAACAATTGGCTTAAGAATAAAACATACTGATCTTTTTACAAAAAGTTTCTTAAGTGGAAAACTTCCTGACTGCTTTCTTTGGGGGACTTTTAAAGAATGAAGTTGAACTTTAAAACTAGGCTGGGAAGTCTGAGAAACAAGGAGTTAGTTTCGGGCTGATACTCTCCATTAGGAAGTGTACCTAATAGGCACTATTCAGTTAAATGCTGGGGCTTTCTTAATATTGTATCCATAAATGCCACACCCCAAGGAGAATTAAACAGTGGTCAAAGTCACCTGGAAGGACAGAATGCTTCTTAAAAGAACATTTATTTTCCTTCAACTCATTTGTTCTTCTCTCAAGTGATCTCCTAATTGTTGGGTCCCCTAGCTGTTCAGATGACCCTGCCCACTGCTACCAATAGATGCCCACCTCCTCCAGACTTCTGACAGCCTGACTGGACACCATATTTCTCACAGGCTATAGAAGTCGAGGAATGGTTTGTTGAGTGAGAATTGGGTCCTTGAATCTGATTTCACACAAATCTTTTATCTTTTTTTCTACTGAAAATTGACTGCAACCATTTCTACTTTGCTGCACTTTATTACCCGGGGACCTTATAAAAGTCCCAATGCCAGGTCACCCAACCATGCCAATTAAATCTGATATCTGAGGGTAGATGCCAGACATCAATATTTCTTAAGGAACCCTGAATGATTTCAATGTGCTGTGAAGTTTGGGAATCATTGGACCGTGCTTTACAAACCTCAAGGGACTCATGAATGTATTCAAAGCATCCAACATAGGGTTAGTGTTTAATAAACTAATAGATACCCTTTTGATTTACTAAGAAAGTGTTGTGATAATGATAATAAGGAAAATGATACTAGTTAATAGTCAGCCCTCACAAATTTAGGGCATTTCACAATTTACTCTTACATCCATAGTTGGTTCTAACCCTCACCATTTTTCCACGAGATGAACATCGGTAGGAAACACTGTCTTTTTTCCATGTTACAGGTGAGGAGACTGGGGCTTGGAAAGTCTAAGTGAGCTTCTCAAGCAGAGTCTGGCTGAGACGTGGTTGGACTCCAAGCCCCACGTTCTTTCCACCATTCTGTACTACCTCTGTGTCCTAGGAGCATCTGTTGGGTGGGGAAAGACACAGCCATTTGTGTAAATATATTGAAAACATACAGCAGATAAAACACAGCAAGTCACTCACCAGTAGAGAGCATATGCTGTAAGCTAAGACAGATGGGAGTCTACACCCATTGTCACCTTCTTAATGGTATAGCTGGATTAGAGAAAGTGGCAGATGTACTCCTCTTTCCTGAAGTCAACCCAAGTGCCAGACATCCCGACTCCCCATGCAGGCACAGCATAAATTGCGGTGCAGATCAGAGGGTAGACCTGGTCTGTCACCACCCTGTTCCAAATACTTGCCATATAGGAATAGAAGTGCAAATTTATTCCACTAAGCCCGAGTGCCAGAGGAGGTAGGTTCCAACTGGGATCCCTGCATTCCTCTCTACATCCACACGGGGTGGCTGATAGTCAACTCCCTCCTCCCCACCATAGTTGGATATTCTTCCTTTGAGGAAGGAAAACTGAGGGTCGAGGGGTTCTTCATATGTTTGCATTATCTAACTCTTGATGTACAATGTACGCTTAATAAACGCAACTGTAGTTAGTGCAGTAGTGCACACCTGTAATTCCAGTGGCTTGGGAGGCTGAGGCAGGAGGATCACAAGTTCAGAGCCAGCCTCAGCAACTTAATGAGGCCCTAAACAACTCAGTGAGACCCTTTCTCAAAATAAAAATAGGCTAGGGGTGTAGCTCAGTACTTAAGTGTCCATGGGTTCAACCCCTGGTACAAAAATAAATAATAAAATAATCCCTATGGCTACATTCATTTTTCATTATTATTTTCAGGACACTGAGATTCATCTTCATCCTTGCCTCTTGATGATGTATCAGGACTCAAACGGCTTAATAGCCAGGAAACTTTCTAGCTATGCTTTTTGTGTTCTTTGGATCTCATATATATTTCTTTGACCTCCAGATTTGTCACATTGGAGAAGCTAAAGCAGTTCTTTCCCCCCTTTATTAACATTCTGTCCATCTTTCAAGTTCCATTTCAAATTCCATTCTGGGAAATTAGGAAACACTTTATGGAGGAGCTAGTATTCATCTCTCCCTCTCAGCTCCCACAGGTCTTTATAATTTTATTATGGCATTTATCATATTCTATCCTGTACTGTAGTTGTATGCCATCTGTCTCTTTCAGCATCTAGTACCTTTCCTGGGGGAAGGAAGGATAGTCCATTCACCATTCATCTAGAATCCCCCACAGTTCACTGCATTGAATCTGGCACACAGTAGATGCCCAGTAAATATTTGTTAAATCAGAATAATCAATTTTTTTAAAAAAAGTTCTATAAACATTCATGTTCCCATTTGCCCACTGATCTTTTTAACTTTCCAAAGATCTTGGATATTTGATATGAATATTTCTGTATATCCATGGAACAGAACATGCCACTATATTGAGAACCACTAATCTGCTACTTTGACCAGCTTAGTCTAGGGATGGGGGATCATTGTATGTCCTCTCCCTTTCACTTCATGAATTTATAAGTTACATAGGAAATATCCTTGGTAACAACTCTGACCTTTCCTCATCAAATGACAAACCAGGTAAAAATTGAGACCATATAGAAAGGTCTGTCCTTTCTTCTATGCAAAGACATAACATTTCACCAAGAACTTGGTTTTCCTTCCTACTCCTTTATCCGCCCCACCCCTAATTAACTCAGAATTTCGGACCATAAGAAGTTTCCTCAATTTCCACCAGTAAATATGAGGCTTGGTTCTTCAGAGATGGTATTCATAATATTTAGCTCTCATGTGTACAAAAGCTATAGGACAACTAATGCTAAAGATTTTACATACCCTTGGCATTGTGTTGCTTTAGGATATAGGTTCATCTCCATGTTAGTGTCTTAAGTCTAAGCACCAGCTGGTATGGTGGCAATTCTCAATGAGCTGTGTAAGAGTCCTGGAGTCTGTTTTAGCTCCGTCATCCTCAGGGGATTAATCTCAGATAATACAGTCCAAGATGCCTTGCTACCAGTTCATGTTTTAGCAGCCATGAAGGAGAAAGGGAAGGGAGAAAGGGGCTTGACCCTTTTTTTTTAAGGTAATAACATGGAAGTTCTCTGAATCGCCTCCACTCATGTGTCTTTGGACAGAAATTGGTCATATGGTCATATTAGCTGCAAGAGAGTCTGAAAAATGTAGCTTTTATTCTGGGAGACCATGCACCCAGGATAAAATTAAATTACTATGAAAGGAGGAGAATAGATATTGAGAAATATGTGGCTGTCTCTGCTGCAGCATCTCTATCTTGAACTTTTGGACCAAGACTTAAATGCCCCTCCAATCTAGAAAGTCCCCATCTCTTCCCAGAATCGAGGGGATGCCCTTGTTAATATTCCAGAGGCACTCAAGGGGCTTTTGCTGAAGGCGTTTTTGCCCATCTTTAAATGTTGGATTCCCCCAGGGCTTTAAAATTGCCTTTTCTTCTTGATAGCCTTCTGGTCTCATCTACTTTCATTATTTTGATTTATATCTGTAAGCTGATGGCTTATATTTGACCTGTATTTATTTTCTTGATGGATCTCTCAAGTTTCCTTGCAGCTTAGATCCGTTTCTATATAGGGTGGGGATCAGAGTGAAGCAGGCAAGGAGCCTCAGTGAAAATGAGGAGACATGCTCAGGGCATGCGGGTGGCTATCACACCAACTAAGTCCTAATTCCTGTGCTCTTGTCTTAGGAATTAGGACTTAGTTGGTGTGATAGCCACCAACTATCTTACTAGCATTCTTGTTTTCAAACTTTGCCTAGTACAACTTATGTCTAAGCTGAAATTGCTAAAATTCAGACTTGATCTTGTGAAATTGCTAAAATTCAGATTTGATTTTGTCTTCTCCAAGCTTTAAAAGAAGAAGAAAACAATCCCACCACCCAAATGTTTATGACTGTAATTGGCTTGTAGAGTCAAGTTCAAAGTCCTTGCTTGAGATATATAAAGCCATTCTTCAGACCCTCCACCACCATAAAGAACCACAGCATTCACCCTTCTCCCACCAATATTTATTCACTTTCAGGCCACTCTTTTGTTTGCTCTTTATCTGGGAAACTCCTTTTATTTATCTTTTATTTTATGTGGTGCTGAGGATCGAACCCAACACCCTGCACATGCCAGGCAAGCGTGTTACCGCTTGAGCCAGCCCCTGGGCAACTCCTATATGTACTTTGAGGACTTCTCACTTCTTTTGTGAAGCCTTCCCTGATTTTTCCAGGTAGAATTAATGCTTAGACCTTTGTGCATATCCCTATTGTGGTCCTATGACACTGAATTCTACTTATTTGTTTACATGTTTCCTCCAGGAACTTTGAACTCTCAGAGAAAAGAGAAAATGTCTTATTCAACTTTGTCGCCTGTTCCTAGCACAGTATGACGTAGAGGTGATCAGTAAGTGTTTGCTGATTCAACGAGTCAATAATGACTAATTTCTGCTTAAGGAATCATGAAATAAACTGTTAGAGAACTGGATGGATGCCTGTAACTAGTGGCTCAGGAGGCTGAGACAGGAGGATCACAAGTTTAAAGCCAGCCTCAGCAATAGCAAGGCACTAAGCAGCTCAGTGAGACCCTGTCTTTAAATAAAATACAAAATAGGGCTGGGAATGTGGCTCAGTGCTTGAGTGCCCCTGAGTTCAATCCCTGGTACCAAAAAAAATGGAGAACTGGATGGATGGGTTTGTGTGTTTAAAAGTTCCCTCATGCCCACACACTGTGGTTGCCTAAGATAGACATAATCTCAAAAGCTTGGTTAGTGAAGAACTTTGATTCAAATTCAGATCCAAATTCTTCCTCTGCTCACTGACTTCAGTGCCTAGCTTTTGTTTATTTTGGAATATCTTGCTAATATTACACAGCTGCTAAAATCCTTCTCAAAACCTCAATGATTCTCACCAAGTAGTGAAAATCATTCTACAGGGCTCACAATAAAGAAGAAAAAACAAAGACGGTTCTGGCAAAGGTTTTAAACCATGAATTGTTGACCATTCTGCTCTGCACCAAGGAATTGGATATTTGTAGGCAATGGGGATGATGATTCATGGTATGACTTCAGTGAGACCACTCTGCCTGGAACTTCCACTTGACCACAAGCACATGCGGGAAGACACAGGAACCATCAATCTATCCTCACACCTCGTTCTCACCCAGAATGAAAATTACTTGGCCTAACAAAAGAGGTGAACTCAGCCAAGGAGAGACACATTGGATTATGTTTCCTGAAAGAGCTATATTGTTATAGTGAAAAGACGGCAATAACTTGTTAAGGATTCTAAGAAACATAAGAACCCTCTATCCCCACCACTCTGCGGCCCTTAGTCATGGATGTCCTGTGACGAATGGAATATGTGGTGGAGAGGCTCAGGTTACTTGAATGTGGTGGTAGTGGGTTTTTTCCTCTAACTTGGGAAATTGGCAATTTTTACACTGCTGCAGAACAAATGGAACTGTGACAAAAGTTATACAATTTATGTAGCTGATTTCATGTGATTTTTCACAGTTGGTTAACATTTACGACGGGTGAGTTTTGCCATCTACTGAGATTAATGAGGTGAGATGGAATTTGCCCACTGTAGTCACTGGTGCTATGTTCACATTCCCAAAGACCAATCTCCTCCACTCACCCATTTCCAGATGAGAAAACCGAGACTTGGACGATTCAGAGACCAAGGCCACATAGTTGGCATATAGCATCAAAAACCAAAGCTAGGTCCCACCAGTCCTGGCCCCAGAGACTTTTATTTGAATGATTAGGATTCTGATGAAAAGTGGTACAATACCTGATTTTCCTTTTTTTTTTTTTCCTTCAAAAGAAATGGAAACATCTTCCTTACTTCCATATCATCATTGCCTACTACCCATTTTGAATTGTCATCAGTCACACAATAGGCAGGGGAATTGAGAGACTACTTGTACCCAGACTGATGGTAACATCTAGTTCTCTAATGGTTAGCTCATTGCATTTTATTTGAAGGATTGGATCTCATTCTAGGAAAGGGTAGGGTGCTTTGAATGAACCATCTGAAAAATAAAAGTCCTACAACTTTTCTTGAATTCACACCAATAATAACAGAAGTGTGCCCCTAAACCTACCTCTCAAAAATCACAATGAGCTCCTTCCTCTCATTTTGATACATAGACCCCTCAAAACAAGTTACAATGTGCTGCTATATTTGATTGTGTCCCTTGGAATTTAATATATTAATCTCCAAAGTCATATGTTGATGGTATTTGTAGTTATGATTAGGCTATGATGGCTGGGCTCTCCTGAATAGACTACTACATTCGTGGATTAATGAGTTAATAGACTATCACGGGAATAGTTTTTTCTTTCTTTACTTTTTAATAAAAGTGAGCATTCTCTGGCTAACTTTGTCTTGCCATGTGAGGCCCTGTGCCACTTTGGGATTCTGTGGAGACCTTTTACCAGTTGCAACTCCTCAACCAATAACTTTCCAGCCTTCAAAACAATGAGAAATAAATTTATTTTCCTTATAAACTACTCTGCTTCAGGTATTTTGTTATAGTGAATAGACTTAAGATATTTTCTAAGTTAGGTTTTTAAGAAGTAGAACCTGAGATGCAACTTGCTCTCAGATGAACCAGTAAGAGAGTGAGGAATACAGCACAGGGCAGAACAGAAACTAGACAATAATGGAGACTCAGCTAGAATCTCTCCTGAGTTTGACCTCATAAGAGCCCTAGCAGGTAAATGGTGGTTTCATTTTGAGGAAAGAGGGCTGAATTTTATACTCATGGGACAATCAGACTTTTGCTAGAGGCTTTCCCAGAAAGACAGAGCAGAACTTTAAGACGTCTCCCAGCTAAGCCACACAGCTGGTCCTGGCCAATCCTCTAGAGCAGGGAAGGGTGCAGCTGTCAGCCTTTAGCAGTCAAATTTGTTTAGCAGCTGGAGGTTGGGGAGGGCATAGCAGCAAAGGGATCGGAGAAGGACACCAAGAGCATTTACTAAGCAAAGTCATATTTCAATGTCCCCAGAAAAGTGGGGAGGGGAAGCTATAAATAACACAAAACAAGAAATCAGTTCCCAGGAAAGCATAATTCACGGCTTTGCTTATCCTGTGATGGCATAAAAGACATAAACATGACACTAAAAACAAAGAAAAGCCATAAACACTTCCGACAGAGGGATCTGTTAGAACCATGTCTGATTGGGATAATACTTAAGTGCCTCGTAGAACCAGAACATCTGGATAAAAACTGAAGAGTCACCATGGCGCACTGTCAATTCCAAGATTCCTCTGGCTTCTTGCTGTCTGAGATTTCTTTCTGCCTTGGTCCCAGTGCTCCTGCCCATGACTTGTAACCTGGGAAAAAGCAATTTGGAACTCTCTGTGTGCTGAGCAAAAAGCTTATGTTGGAGCTATTGATCAGATGGAACTTGCTCAGAGCCATCTTGTTCAACAAAAGTCCCATCCCAAGGTGGCTTTGGCTATTTTGTCAAGACAGGAAATAAAGGACACACTTCTGCCTCCCAAAGATGAAGAAAAACCTAAGGTTGAACCACCATATGTCAAGAGCTGTACTCACCATTTTTTTTTCTCTATACTAAAAACACTTTCTGATGAGCCTCCGTTGTTGCTGCTAATCGGGGAGGAGATGGAGTGGAAGACACAGCCACACACCAGTCAGGGGTTACTCAGTCCTTTCTGGTGTAAGGCTGTCGTTTTCAGATCCGTACTCGGCCAGTATGAGTAGAACTGCCCACTGGGGCTGCTTTCCCTAGAAGGACATCTGCTCCCATCTGCCTGTCTTGGTCTTCATGTGACACAAGGGCCCAGATATCAATGGTTGTGCTTTAGGAAAAAATGAGGGGCTCTTTACAAATGAGGCTTCCTCAATATTCCAAATAAAATGCAATGACATTTTCTTGTCTCTTGGGTTTTTTTTTTTTTTTAAGAAAAGTTCCCTTAGAAAGTAGGAAAGCAAAGAGTCTCATAATTCAGTTAGCGTGGCTTTCCTTTGACCCAATTCTCTTACATGTTGGATGAATTTCTTTGGCAAATTGAATAATTTTCACAAGTCAATTACATACATTCCCTCAGCCTGTTTGAGTGTAATGAAATAGCTTAATAGAATAAAACAATAACCCCAAGATGATGATGTTGGCCATTATTAAGTACAACAAAAGGAATTAATTATGACAGTAGAAAGGATAATTGATGACTTGGAAAATGGATTCTCAAACTCTATTGTGACTTTGGAGACATTTGAAGAGCTATGTGGCTTTCTGAATACTTATGAACAGGATTATTAATAACATTTCTTAATTCCTTACATTTGGTCAGCCCTTTACAATACATTGTCATGTACAAAATCTGGCTTTTAATCTTAACCAACACTTAGAGCTTGCTAGGTGCCAGCCTCCACTCTGAGCATGTCACATATTAACTCACTCAATTCCTCTGCACCAACTCCCTGCTCTGTGGTTGGGATTGCTTTTTTTTTTTTTTTTTTTTTTTTTTTTTTTTTTACAAATGAGGACACTAAAGCTTAGATAAGTTAGGAACTCGCTCTAGGTCCCCCAGCTGGGATGTGGCAAGATGGAAATTTGGATCCAATCGACTTCCTGAGTGCTTGGATCCATGGCATTATTCTACCTATCTCTCATTTCAGCCTTACAAGTATCCTGCAAAATGGGAATGTTAAGTTATATTTTCCTGAGGATAAAACATGCCCTGAAACAGAATTTAAATTATTTGCAAAAGTTTGTAAACCCCAGAGCTGGACTTGAAATCTTTGTCTTTTACCCTCAAATAGGTACACTTTCTGATTTGAATTTATGATGCAGTAAATTATTTCATTCCAAGTGGCATGTAATATTTCTAGAGCTTTGAAGCACGGAGAAGATTATACTATGTATTCTTTTGGGAAGAAAACTGTGCACAAATGTTGTAGGCCAATAGAAATGCAGACCTTTTTAACCAGAGATGCTATTAATTTAAAAGCTCCAATTCATAGAATGCTTAATGAAAGGGGAACATATTGTTTCCTAATAATTCTTATGTTTTCTGTGCACATAAAGTCCCTAGGGAAATTATAATTAATGTAGGATCTCAGATTCCAAACCAGGAATTCTCATTCAGTGGTTCTGAGGTCAGGTTCAGGTATCTGAATTTTTAGGACACATCCAGGTGAGCAATTTTTTTCTAAATGGGGAACATAAGCCCAAAAGAGAAATCCACCCTGTTAGTATATACTGAGATGCTAAAAAATCATGACTTCAAGGTTAGTATAGCACTAATGGTACTTTGGTTTGTTCCTAAGATGACATGTTTTATTTATGAAATTCAGAGATTAATTGGACATAAATTAGTCTCAAATTCACTAATGCAATTTGTTAAGTGAGTTAAAACATTCATATAAATCGTGATTAGAGCTACTGAATTTTAAGGAAATAAATGTTACAGAGGTTTTACAACTTAATAAATATAGGCAGCAGCATTTATACTTCCCAGAACTTACTTTGATTAATTAATATCCAAACTAATGCATAAAATCAAATATATGCAAAATTACTTTAAAGAGACAGAAGGGCTACCTAGAGCCCTAGAGAGAGATTGACTATAGCCAAATCAATGCCATTAGCCAAGAATACATTAACAGAAAGAGGGTGTCTGACTGGAATATTTATTTTAAGAAAAATGGAGAGCCTAAAGACAGGCAGTACACAGACTCTCTGGGAAACAGGAAACAGTGACTTGATTTCACCCAGAGATGTGCTGCTGACCCCTCTGGTGTATGTGCCCCACCCACAGCCCCATTCTCTGAGCCCTCCCCAGCCCTGCCTTGAGTAATTGATCCTTGAAGTCATGTTTGTGCACCACCTTGCCCTATGCCCAAGTTGTTTGGAGGGTGTGAGCCCCTGTCACACTAAGCAATCAGATTCTCTTAGGAAGAAAATCCTAATTGAGATTTGAAGACTGTCTTTAATCTCTTCTAGTTGCTTCCTGGAAACACTCAGGAATTTCTGGATCCCAAGTGGAGAAAGAAGCTTCATAAAAAGAATGCCCAGAGAATGTGAGATATGTCCCCTGCAACATGGGGGACTGAGGCAGTGGCTTCTGTATCGTATGTAAGAGATCTAAAGCTAATGAGCATGGCTAAAGAGGTGTGTGGCAAAGTCAGCTCTAATCCCAGCCTAGTTTATTTTCTAATTTGTCATCTTTCCAAATTCTTACTTTTGGGGTAAGAAAACTAAAATGAATTAGAAATAAGTATCAGTAGGGGCTGTGGTTATGCAGAATTTTTACGATTATGTGGGATGAAGCATGGATGCTAGAGTGTTTTACAGTAAGTTTCTGGACTTTGGAAGTTTTATACGGCACTTCTTGTGTGCATTACCTGATGATATGCAGTGATAGTGCTGCCCTTCTATCCTTTTGGATTTTGCATGATCACATTCAGAATGGGGAGGAATCATCCAATCCAGTATTTTCCATTCCCAAACAGTAGCACCCAATCGTTAAAGATCTCAATTATTCCTGGTGGACTTGGGGACAAAAAGCAGTAGGGAGGAGGGTGTCAAACCAAAACCACAACTGCCCAGAACAGGGAGGTCCTGACAAAGTTAAAATTCAGACCAGCAGTATAGAAACAGCAGTTAACAGTGTTAAGAGACAGAGGCTGAGGCCTAAAATGCTGGCTCAAAATATGTGCGAGCTACAACCATTTCATGGAATGTTGGATATTTAAGTTTCTCATGACTCATGTGCATCTCTTGCAAGTTACTAATATTTAACTAAAGCACTTGTTTATTTAAAGAATATTTTTCCCTTTCTTAGAAAAAATAACCTTTCCTAGTTCCTCTTGTAAGACTTCGGGTGACCAAAGTGAAGTCCGACTCCGATGCAATGACTTGTAGAAAGTTTTATGTAGACTTTCTTTCATTTGTTGGTGCTGGGGATTGAACTCTGTGTTTCACACATGCCAGGCAAGTATTCTACCATTTCACCACACCTCCAGTCCCTTTAGGTAGATTTTCTATTGCACTATTTTTATCAATAATTTGAGGGTAGCAGATTCAGGTACCAATCCATAATGAACATTTATCTGGAACTTGAAAAAAATGACTTCCTGCCCACAATGTCCTCCTATTCACATACACTAACGTGAACACACACACACATTTACTTTAGCTCATCCTTAAATTTTTCCTAGAAAACATTTTTAAAGGGTGAAGAAAGTACCTTGCTGCTTCTAGATCAATTTTCCATTTGAAATAGATGAGCAAACAGCCAAGTACACCTGACAGGCCCTTGGAATGCTCTTTTACGAAATTCTAGATTTAAAAAAAAAGAGGGGGGTTTACTACAAAAGAAAGTGGCCATGACCTACATAGATTTTAGGAACCTAAATACAGAATTGAGAATTTGATGTTAAAATAAATAGCCAAGGGACCAAACCATCAAGGACATTGATACAACTAAAGATAACAATGAGACATAAAAGAATTAGAAAAAAATAATTTTTTTTAAAGTGCAGTTCTCATTGTGTAGAATCAACCTACTATAACTGCAACTGTTCCTAATAGGTATGAAGTATAATATGTTTTAAAACAGCTCTTGATAGTCCTTGTCTTCCTCAACCATTTAATGAAAATTGAAAGGACAACACAGACCCACAGTGAGGTTAGCTATATATTCTCTTTCCTACTCCACTCCACTCCCATGATTAGGGTATTTCATTTGCTTTTTTCTTTCCAGGCGATGCTTTATGTACCTATCAAATCAATTCTGGATCTCTCCTAGAGGTCAGTCAATGACACCATCTAAATAGTCATCTCACTTTTTTTCTTTAAAGACAATCCATCTATTTTCTTAGATCACATAGGGCTTTCAGACCCAGGTAAGGTACTAAACCATTCATGAACAAAATGACACTTTTTCTCATCAAGACTTTTTCTCATCAAGACTGTCAGGCTTGACTTCTGTGAGAAGATGGACTAAGTTATTAAAGGGATCTCTTTCATTAAAGTTCTAGTTAATATGCTGCTGGCTCAGTTCTTAAGTCCTCTTCGTGTGGTCTCTTTATCTCTTAGTTTTATTCTGGGAATGAAGAGTATAAATGGAGAGAGTATAAAGGATGATATATATGTACACATATACATGTAGATAAATACATGTTTTATAAATATGTATATATAGCACATAACAATGTAAATATGTCCAGAGTAACCCTAGGTAAGTTAATGAGCTGAATGTAAAATAGGGAAGGGGCAAAGATACAAAAACCTTAAATTGGGGCTTTATGATTGAGGGAATCATTTAGAAGTTAAAGGCTTGAAAATTTGTTAATAAATAAAATGACAAAATATCTATGGTTTGTGGTCACAGTGTCTTTTTCATGTCCATAGTCCAGAGAAAGAAGTCAGTTATATTAAGTTTCACTTCTCCTGAGGATCCTGAATCTTTCAGAAATGGGCTTAAGCATTATTTTCAGAAGGTTCCAGCAAAAACTCCTAAGGCCATTGTGTCATTCTAGATATTCCTGTCTTAGATTGGCTGGGGGCTGTTTTTAGCTTTTCGAATTAATAATTTGAAGGAGATGCTATGCCCATACATAATGACTTCATCTTGTCTGCAGAAATGATTCAAAACAGCAGTTAGTACACACAAGTAGTCTCATTAAGCAAGGTTTTGATGCAGGAGCACAGGTACGGTGTCAGCTGCTGCGCTGGGTAACTGCTTAACTGTGGAAATAATGGCAGAGCAGAAGGTGTGTGCGAGCATTAACACTGATCGCTATTCTGCTGGGTGTTTAGCATCTCAACTCGATTTTCCTTTTGTTTTCCATTTGGAGCAATGTACTTCACTTAAGCCAAATTCCTTAGGGAATACAAGAGATGTTAATTGCATTTTATTTTAAAGTAAGAAATTTGCTTTAAAGAACATTTTAAGATATTTATAAAGATCTGCATAAAGACCCTTATTTTTCTCTATTGTCAGTTCCTTCCCTTTGTTAAAATGTCCTGATGAATGGTTTTGAAGTGCAGATAATAGGAAACAAACCAGTAAAATAACCACATTCCCATGAAATAGATAAGGTCTTATAAATTTTTTGAAGCTTGTTTATTTTTTATATATACTTTTTACTTTATTTAAATGTAGAACAATGTCTTTTAACCAAGTCACTGAATGTAAATATGTCCAGAGTAACATCAGTAGATTAATTCGATATACATAAAATAGGGAAGGGGTCAAGGTATTGAACATTCAACCAGTAAGTAGATAGAGAAAACACCCAAGGCAAGGCATATCCCCAGAGGCTGTCGGGGGTGGGGAGGACCTGAAGGTTCATCAGAAACTCCCATCAGACCCTAGAGAAGTTCCCATATTTCAAAATAGCTAGGTGCTCTGGATTTCCAGGGTCTGCAATCATGATGAATTCACAAATTTAACTCTCTTCCTACTTAAGGAATGAAGCGGTTCTCACCGTCAGTAGTGAGAACCACTCTTATTTTCAGTTTGACTCTGCATAACCTAGGTCCCTCAACTATATTTCTGGCCTGTCCACTGACAGCTATGACACAGGAAAGTTACCATTAAACAAACAAAAAACTCAAGAAACACTTCCATGACAATAGAAAGTGTTTTAGAAAGTGTTGACCAACCCCAGAAGGGGTTTTATTTTTTTTTATTGTGATAAAATAGATATAATATAAAAATGATCATTTTAGCCATTTTTAAGCGTCCATTTCAGGATCATTCACTCCTAGGCTTACCACCATCCATTTCTAGAATATTTTATCTTCCCAAACTAAAACTTGATACCTACTAATCAACAACTTCATAGCCCTCATGTCCCACGGCCCTTGGCAGTGACCATTCTGCCTCTAGGATACCTGATTCACCTGATTCATCTTAACAATGCTGCCAACTCCAAATATACCTAACTTCAGGAACTTTGTTTACTTTTAAAAGCCCATCAGAGAAAATGCACAGCAGCTAGGGAAGCAAACCTCCCAGGAGCCATTTGAAAGAATGATTATGTCAACAAGTAGGCTCTTGGAAGACGTGATCATCCTGAACGAGGCAGCTCTCACCCAAGCTGTGCCAAACCTAATGCATCGTTTCTGCCTTGAAATGGTTGGTGATAGAGAGCACATTCATGCTGCCAACGGGAGACTTCAATCACCTGGGCTGGCAGGGCCCAGAAAGAGCGTGGAAATGAATGTCCTTCTGATCTGGCCCAGGGATGTTATTGGGAGAGGAGGTATTTGTTCCAGAACCATTGTGATGAAAGCACCAGGGGGCCAATTGGCTCATTTGTCTCACTTTATCTAATTACCAGACCAAGGTGAAGATTTGGAATGGCTTAAAACATAGAAATGAAGCCTATGTGGGCCTTGAACTGGATGTGGTCCTGGTCCTGTGAATGAAATGCAGTTGTTTTCCTCATTCCTCCCCTTTCCCAATGTCCCCACCTCCCAACACAATTCAACTTGAAAAATAATTTTTTTTTTCAGACAAAGTAGAGAGTGGCAAAACAGGATTCACAGCCCATTTAGAAAATTCTTACCTTATGAAAATTCTCACCTCTTTCGTGGCAGAAACGGGGTTATTTCGTCTTGATAATCACTTCAACTCTTTTCTCTCTGCCTATGTGGACACATGGACATACCGTAAAGTTAAATTATGCTTCTGGTCTCAAGCAGGTCTTTCTGGACAGTTTTGCTTATAATACATTAAAAAGTTTAAAACAACTATACAGTGTTTATACGTGGAGAAAAAATAAACACATAGGGATATGAATAGCCTGCAAAGAAGAAAAAAAACTAGTTTATTGGTTCCACTTAAATGTATTATAAACAATTTGTAGACACACTTTAGTGAATATTTTCACTGACTCAGTGAGTGTGGCTTCCCAAGTATGTTCTGGCTGGAGGCAAGACCTCAATTTTTGTTCCCATGAGCAGTACTGGAAATCTTCCTTCAGGGTTCCGTGGGGATCTCTTTTAGGATATGAAGACACCACACCTTTTCACATGTGGCTATTGCTATACACTTGGAAGCCATAGAAGAAAAAATCATAAAAATAAAAGACTTCAGTAGATTTTTCAATCATTGTCACAACAGAATAACGTTTTTAATCAGATTACTGGGGAATGGAACAATAGATTAATAGGTTTTGATGGGAGGAAGAAGTCACTAAAAAG